CAATAGCATCTTCTGTTTCTTGAATTCGTTTCTGGAACCTGCATCCATCCCTTGCAAATTCTTCCCATGGTCCTTTGCGATCCTCATCACCACTTATATAATACTCAGTAACTTCTTCAAGGAAGGTTACCTACAAAAACAAAGACTAATTTTAATAACTCTCTAGGATCTTACAATTAGCGTTGAGGTCAATAACCCTTTATGCTACCAATTTTTTCATAATATAGAATATCTTACTATTCCCAACTAAAAATAACATCTTGTTCTTAGGAATATTTGGTTCCAGCTATATCTGAAGTTAAAGAAAAAAAAAAAAGTTCTGTCACGCCTGTAATCCCAGCACTTTGGGAGGCGGAGGCAGGCAGATTACCTGAGGTCAGGAGTTCAAGACCAGCCGGGCCAACATGGCGAAACCCTGTCTCTACTAAAAATACAAAAAAATTAGCCAGGCGTGGTGGCGCACGCCTGTAATCCCAGTTACTCAGGAGGCTGAGGCAGGAGAACAGCTTGAACCTGAGAAGTGGAGGTTGCAGTGAGCCGAGATCGCACCACTGTACTTCAGCCTGGGCAACAAGAGCGAAACTCTGTCTCAAAAAAAAAAAAGGTCTGATTAGATGGCATTTGGATAAAATAGTGAACAAATGTCACCTAAATATTTCATGTAGAGACATATATCTTTCATTTATATATATATATCCTTCATTTATCTATATCTGCATAATACACACATACAGTCGTCTGCCCCCACGCATCCCCCACCAGCCCTTGGCTTTTGGTGTTAATAAAATGAATCCAGATGAGGAATTGAATTTTTCATGCTGTTATTAACCCCTGCTATTTTTTAATCCTTAGGGAAATACAGTTCTGTGATATTCTTCCCTCAAAATGATAAGCAAAATATTTCTGAAAATAACCGCCATATCCCCGGAAGTCACTGTTTTTATCATTGCATAAAGGCTTTAACAATATTTTTGCTTACTTCTATTCTTTTTCCTTTTAGAAAATGTTTTCACTTTCCAACTTTTAAATCAACATGTAGTACTATTTTTGTATCATTACTTTGGCAATAACAATACAGAAGAGAAAAAGTTACTTAGTAAACAAAGTACAGCAAAATTAGTATTTTTAACGCTGTGTTACTCTAAGAAACTTTGTAGTTAAGATTTCAAAAACCTTTGTATTCAATATGCTATCCTATATATGAAATTGTGATTCTAATATACATAATGACATGTAATGAGTGACAATCCCTACTCATTACTACTTAATCACTACTTAATTTCTATGAAGCTTCTTTCTAAGCTATCAAACTCCAAAAGCAAATACTCGCTTTAAAGTATGTTTAATAGTTACATCAGCTAACCCTACTGTGGCCTACTACTTTCGTTCCCTTTACATCAGGCCAAGGGATGCCCCTGAGGACAATTAGCAGGTATGTAACACCTTACCAGTTATTGCATTCTAGTCTTGAATACTACTCATTCATTGTGTCATTAAGATAAATGATAAAAACATACAGTGTTTATCATATACCAGCTCTTTTCAAAGAGCTTCACATTTTTATCTCATTTAATCCTCACATTAACCCTATGAGGTACGGATCATTATACAGATAAGAAAACAGAGGTAGAAGGGTTTTTTAGACTCACTACCCATCATCCTATATACTCCATATATTTCATACATCATACTCCATATATACCAACGACAGATAGTCAAAGGCTGTCAAATAATTCTATCATATTCAGACATAATCATTTACAAATTCTGCTTCTAGTTCACAGTATCATCTACTCCACTCATTTCATTTTACTCAATGAGCAAGCTAAAATTAGACATGAGACTGGCCTGAGGTCTCTCAATAAGAGCTAGCATTTAAAGGCAAGGCAATAAATTCTGAATTTTATTTACTTGTCTCATTTAAATCTTGCAATAACTTGTACAATAGATATTATTATTTTTCCCATCAAGTAAGAGTGAATTGAGGCCATGAGAGTCAAGTAACTTGCCAGGTCTGGCTGCCTTCCAAATCTCTCCGCCTTAACCACTGAGGAGTAGAGAACACGGGGCTCCAGCTGCCAAGTGCTCATTCCATTGCCCCACTTTGTTTCTTACCTATTCATTCTAAATAGGTCATTTTGTCAGGGGCCCCTTAAAAGGACAGAGAGATGGCATTTACACAGTGTGAACTAAAATTTAATTTTTAACATGACTTATTCTGCCCTAAAGGTAAGACGTAAGATTATCACCATTTGGAGATACTTTCTACCCAGGAATAATTTCAAAGTATTAAGCTGGCCATTTGGAGCCAAGAGATTATGGCACTGTCCATCTGAAACTCCCCAGTGCGGCAGAAGCTGAGGTCAGTAATAACTCACCCAATATCTTCTCTTTCCAAGTAACGGCATAGAAAACTAAAAAAACTTTCCCTCTACAATAGACACCTTTCGGTTTGCGGAGAGTTCAATTAATAACTTTAGTTAAAGCAACTATAAAGAAAAACAAACCAACTCAAAACGCTCCCAAAATAAGGTTAACCTGAAATTAGCCTGGGAATAGGAAGCAACTAGTCAAGATAAACCAAGTAAGTGGCCATCACTGTTTTTATTAATATTAACTGTAGCTGACCACTGATAACTAGCACTGCATTCCTAAGAAAAGGCAATACCATTTCCTGTATTGGCTTTGACTTTCAATTAAAATCATGTAACGTCAAAACCACTGAAATTACTATTTTCTTTCATGGCAAATTGAACCAAATAAATCTTACTTACTACTTGATATCATCATCCCTTTGGGTTGTAATGGACAGGAATGAAGACACTCTTGTTATGTGCAAACAAAATATTAAGTATTTGCAAACAACATACATTTAAAATCAGTTTAAAACTTTATGGCTGTAACAGGACCTTTTCAATCTCTAGAAAAATTAAATCGTGTATACACAAAGTTTAATAGTCCGTTAAAAAGTGTGAAAAGTTGAAGCTTGTAAAGAAACAGTCCAGAACTACCAACCCAAAGAAAAATGGCACTTTCCTGCTAACATCTACACGCTGGTATGTTCGTTGTGGACAGCAAAAATGTGCATGGGGGTGGGGAGTCAGGGAGAGGAGAAGGGTCATTTACATATTTCTCAATGCAAGTATACGAATTTAGAGGTCTTCCTCAAAAACACATGCACTCCTAAGCCTCCAAAGTCATGCTGTTATATTTAACCATATCAAAACAGTCAGAACATATCAGGCATGTTAAAAGATAAGAAACAAACCTTTCTTCTTTTGACATGTGTCTGTCTTCCTCCAGATAGAACGTCACGCAGTACCGAGTCTGGACATTCACTTTCTTGGCTCCCCAACAGCTGCACCTTACAAGAAAGTAAGGTGTGACACTCAGAAATGGCCACAATGGACTCAGATGGGGTCTTTGAGTCACGACAGCCTTTCCCATTTTCCCCTGATGTTTGAAAAGGAGCCTTAAAATTTAAAGGGTTGTAAGGGTCATCAGAATTACAGAAAGAGTTCCACAGTTTGAGACTCTCTGCTTCATCTGCACTAGATTCCCAGTCATCTTCCTCCCCAGAACTATGCTCAGGGGTCTCAGGAAGGCTTCCAGACTGGGAGGAATTCTCTAGATCAGACTCGCCAGACAAATCCTTCTCTGAATCAGAAGGCTCTTCAGGAACAATTCTGGCAGCAGTCTGAATTGTGGCTGTAAAGTTCTGGGGATTATAAGGATCTACACTGTAGAAAGAGTTCCAAAGGTGAAGCCCTTCAGGGTCTTGCTCAAGGTCTGAGTCTGACAGTGAGCTATCACTATCAAAACCATCATCCTCAGCTTCCTCATCCCAATCCTCACCTTCTGGATCAGAACTTGTTTCCAGGTCACTGGATGCACCTCCCAAAATATAATCTATCAGTTTGTTACTACAAGCTGGTCTGGCAGAAATGGGAAGGTCATCTTTTAGGTATGAGTAATCTACTACACTTATTCGGCCCTCTCCAGGCTCCTTTTCCATAGGTATCTCACAAGATGGAAAGCTCTCAGAAGGGCTCTGTTCTTCCAAAGCAAGTGGAACTTCTGCAGTTAATAATTCTATTTTTTCTTCAGTGGATTCCTGGGTGGTTCCAGGAATGTCTTCAGCAGCAGGAACAAACTGTGTTGGGTTATCTCTGCAGTGTTTCGGATCCATCCGGAGAAGGTTGTGTTCCTCCTCCAGGCTGTGGTAGCCATTATCCTGGTCAGGGGTGGGTAACTCTTGCCCCTTGCTAGCCTGCTGAAGGAATTCCAGTCGTTTCATGCGAAGATGGTGAATTTCTGGTAGTAGGCCTTCTGTAGAAAGAGGTGGACATCCCTGCCACGAGGCCGGGGTGAGTTCTGCACTCAGCGGCTGGGGATGACAAGGGTCCTCTCTCAGGCAGCTGCTCTCTGCGGTTAGTGTCTGCAAGCCGACTAGCTCGCCATTTCCATCACTGTTCTGATAGCTGACTTCTAGCCTAGGAAAGCAGTCCAGGTAGGAGGGGCTCAGCAAATAGGATACCACATTAAAAGTGTCTATGCGTTGAATGTTTAGAGGCCCAGAGAGCGAAGAGCCAAGTTCCCGGTCAGAGTACAGACGGGATTGAAGGCTACAGGGCAACAGCTCCACTCCCCCTAGCTGCTGCTCTAAGAGAAAAGCGTGTGCTGCAGGGTCCAAAGCACTTCCCTTGGCCTTAAGCTCCAATTCTAAGTCTGGGGGCGAACACTGCCAGTGGATCCCCTCCTCTAGCCAATTAAGGGGACTGGTGGCCGAGGAGTCTGAGGAGTCGAGCTTCAGCGAACTCAAAGATTTCTGCGCTGTGGAGGCGGCTGGTTTCTCCCGTCCCTTCAGGGATCTGTAGACTCCAGCAAAATTTAGCCATCTGGTCGGAAACATTCCACCGAAAAGTTGGCTCCAAATTAGCACCTTCTGAAGCAATCCGGGGAGCGGCGCAAGGAGCTGGGAGAGCAGCTTCGTCCAGTAGCTGACCCGAGTCTCGGGCTGGGCGGAGGAAAGCAGTGTGGGGTCCCCGAAGTTTTCCGGCGCAAGAGGCGTCGGGAACTTAGAAGAGCCTGCTTGCGATCGCCGAGGGAAAAAGGGTGGCCAGAACCGGAAGCCCGCCCGAGGGCCAGGCCGTTTCCGCGATCCGCCTGTCTCAGGCTCCATCTCCTTTTCCTTGGCAGTTTCTCGGGTAGGGCCGCGGCGCTCAGCGGCTGGAGGTCGGACGGGATTCGGAGGAAACCTACAGAGTCTCGGCCTTGCCCAGCGGTGGCGTCGGTGCTCCAGGCCGATCTCCGAGCCAGCAGAAAAGCCACAGAGGGCAGCGGATGCGGCAGCGGGCGGCAGAACACAGGGAGAAACACCCCGCGCAATACGCGGCAGCTGATGCGACTTCCATCCTGGAGGGAAAGGACGTTCCCTAGTCGGCTCGACGCTTCAATACCATCGATAGGAGCCTGCCCACGGCCTCGGCGGTGGTTTTCTGAGTGACAGAAGGTTGAAGAACCCCTGAGCAACGCGACACCGGAAGGGCTAGGTAGGTTGACTGGTGCGGTGGAAGCGAAGCCCAAAATGGCCGCAGGGCCCGCGCGCCGGCAGGACACCCCCCCAGCCGCCGGAAGAGACGCAGGACTGCTGGGCGTCTACGCCACTAGCGCCGCGCCGCCCAACGTCTCTCGCAAAGCCCCGGGGGGGTGGGGCTTTCCGCCCACTTCCGTGTGGCCGCCGATTGGTCGCGCCTGATTTCCCTGTCGGCTTCCTTACTGGAGGTAGAGCCGCACGGTAGCGGGAGGTTGCATCAGCCGGCGGGATGCACGCATGCGCAGTTGTTTCTGTGTGGTCTCTTAGGCGACCGCTCCAACAGCCCTCTAGGCTAAAGGGCTTGGGTAGGAAAAGGGTTTTCAAGATAACCCGAGAATTTCCCGGAGGCGTTTTGATGGCCTAATACACACTAACGTGTGTACAGTCATCGCCTCGTATTAAATGGGGATTAGTTCCAGGACGCCGTAGACACCAGAATCCGCAGATTCTGGTCAAGTCCCTTATGTAAAATGGTGTAGTGTTTGCATATAACCTACGTACACCTTCCCAGATACTTTAAATCATCCCCTAGATTAAGTAAATTACCTAATACAATGAAAGTGCTATGGAACTAGTTGTTATGTTGTATTTATTTGTATTATGTTTTATTGTCTTTATTTTTCCCGAATATTTTCAATCCATGGAAGGTTGAATGCCCCGTGGGCCAATTATAGGGTTATCGTAGTCTTAAATTTTTATTATTTATTTGTTTGAGACAGGGTCTGGCTGTGTCGCCCAGGCTGGAATGCAGTGGTGCGATCTCGGCTCACTGCAGCCTCAACCTCCTGTGCTCCAGTGAGCCTCCCACCTCAGCCTCCTGAGGAGCTGGGATTACAAGCTCGCACCACCACGCCCAATTTTTTTTTTTTTTTTTTTTTTTTTTTTTTTTGAGACGGAGTCCCACTCTGTCGCCAGGCTGGAGTGCAGTGGCGCTATCTCCCCGGGTTCAAGCAATTCTCCTGCCTCAGCCTCCCGAGTAGCTTGTACTACAGGTGCGTGCCACCACGCCCAGTAATTTTTTTGTATTTTTGGCAGAGACAGGGTTTCACGATGTTGGCTAGGATGGTCTCGATCTCCTGACCTTATGATCTGCCCACCTCAGCCCCCCAAAGTGCTGAGATTACAGGCGTGAGCCACTGCGCTCAGCCAATTTTTGCATATTTTTGTGGAGACAGGGTTTCGTTGTGTTGCCCACGTTGGTTTCAAACTCGGCTCAAGTTATCTGTCCGCCTGGGCCTCCTAAAATGCTGGGGTTACAGGCGTGAGCCACCGCGCCCAGCCTGACAGGTATTTCAGGGTTCTCCTATTGTTGAGTACTATGTAGACCATCAACCTGAGATCTTATGTAAAAGGTGGGCAGTGCTGCGTAAATACATGTCTGGTATGGGGCAAACTAAACTCACAGAGAAGCAGCTCAGTTCCCAGAACTATTTACTCTCTTTTATGCTTCCAAGCAGGCAACATACTCAAATCATATTTATGAATACTTCCTTAGCAACCAGAACCACCGAATACAACACCCAAAAAGGAAACATGGACCACTATCCTTTGAAAAAAAAAAAAATTGTCTGGTAATTTTAATTGCTGTATTTGATTCTCTCTTGTGAGTTTGGTCTTAGTTCATTTCTTTATTTCTGCCAAAACTTTGTAATAGATACTCCTGAAGTCAGGTATCAATTACAGAGGGAGGGTGACAGTTATGAGCACTAGAGACAGCAGAAAAATCTTTAAGGAGCCAGAAGGAGACCAGCAGCTCTTCCTGCCTTACTGGGCCTGTTCAAGAACAATCACTTCTTTTTCTTTCTTTTTTTTTTTTTTTTTTTATTTCGGTTTGTTTGAGACCAAGTCTCGCTCTGTTGCCCAGGCTATAGTGCAGTGGCGTGATCTCCGCTCACTGCAATCTCTGCCTTCCTGGGATCAAACTATTCTGTCTCGGCCTCCCTAGTAGCTAGGACTATAGGCGCCTGCCACCACGCCTGGCTAACTTTTATATTTTCAGTAGAGACGGGGTTTCACCGTGTTAACCAGAATGGTCTCGATCTCCTGACCTCGTGATCCGCCTGCCTCAGCCTCCCAAAGTGCTAGGATTACAGGTGTGAGCCACCATGCCCGTCACAACCACTTCTTTCTAGGAAGCCAAGAGGACCTCAGTTTCTGTTGTTTACCCTGTATTATTATCCATACCTCTGGAAAATCTCAATCCTAAGAACTTCAGAAAATGTATTAATAATAGAGGTCAGTTTCATAATAGAGATCCAAGTAGGTAAATTTGTTACCGGAAGCCTGTTTCTTGTAAAGTGAGGCTAGTAATTCCTCTTTCAATGCGTTGGTAAGAAAACTAGGTTTCCTCAATGCCTAGCCTAGACAGAGTAGGAGCACAAAGATTAGCTAATATTCTTGTATGGTTCTGCTTCACAGTCTTCAGTTGTTTCCTCATTGCCTGCAGAATAAAGGCTCTATTCAGCCTGTCCTCCCACTGTACTCTTCCAGCCTCCTCTAGTCACTTGTCTTCATGCATGTTATATTCTAGGAACACTGGACTTACCTATACTCCTTGTTTCCGGCCTTTACTCATGCTGTTTCTCAGCCAAGAAAAGCTTCACCTTTCCTGTTATATACCTACTCATCCTTCAAGATCCAATTCAAATGTCAGCTTCTCCTTGAAGCCTTCGTTGACCTTTCCAGCCAGAATTAATGGATCCCTCACAGCATTTATATTATTCTGCTCTATTAGAGCACTTAACACATTGCGTTACATATACCTATAAATGTTCTCTCTTGCTGGTCCCTGAACTCCTTGAGGGCTGTATCCAACTATCTAGCAAAGTGGTTCCCAAAGTATGGTGTGGGCACCCCTGGGGATCCTGCTTTGAAACCCTTTCAGAGAGTCCTTAAGGCCAAAAATATTTTCATAATAATTCTAAGCTTTTTTAACTCTCATTTTCTCATGCATGTACAGTGAAGTTTTCTAGAAGATACATGGTGTGTGATCTGGCAACAGAATGAATGCAAAAACAGATAGATATGAGATTCTAGCCATTTTATATTAAGCCAGATACTAAAGACATTTGGAAGAAATGTAAGACAATGCCACTTTTCTTGCTAAGCTTTTTATGTTTTGAAAAACAATTGAACATTACCAGCCTGGACAACATGGTGAAACCCTGTCTCTACAAAACATATAAAAATTAGCCAGGCATGATGGTGCACACCTATGGTCCCAGCTACTCAGGAGGCTGAGGTGGGAGGATCGCTCGAGTCTGGGAGGCAGAGGTTGCAGTGAGCCAAGATTGTACCACTGCACTGCAGCCTGGGCAACAGAGTGAGATCCTGCCTCAAAAAACAACAACAACAAAAAAAAACATGTAATTGGTTTATTATTTTTAAATGAATTTTAAAATTTTATTGTATTTTTTGTTAAAGACAGGGTTTCATATGTTGCCCAGACTGGAGTGCAATGGGTATTCACAGGGGCAATCACAGCACGCTATGGCCTTGAACTCCTGGGGTCAAGCAGTTCTCCTGCTTCAGCCTCCCAAGTAGCTGGAACTACAGGTGCACACCACCATACCCAGCCTAAATGAGCATTTTTCAGTTCCTCAGTTTTGAATTCATAAATAGGAAATATTGATAGATATAAACCACATAAAGGCATAAAGTTATTTGGGGTCCTTAGTAGGTTTTTTTTTGAGACAGGATCTTGCTGTATTGCCCAGGCTGGAGTGTGGTGCCATCACGGCTCACTGCACCCTTGATCTCCCAGGCTCAAGCAGTCCTCCCACCTCAGCCTCCCAAGTTGTTGGCATGGCAGGTGTGTACCACCACTTCTGTTTTTTTTTTTTTTTCATTTTATTTTATTATTATATTTTTGAGATGGAGTCTTACTCTGTTGCCCATGCTGGAGTGCAGTGGTGCAATCTCAGCTCACTGCAAACTCCACCTCCTAGGTTCAAGCAATTCTCCTGCCTCAGCCTCCCAAGTAGCTGGGATTACAGGCACCCACCACCACGCCTGGCTAATTTTTATATTTTTTAGTAGAGATGGTTTCACCAGGTTGGCCAAGTTAGGATTTCTTTTCTTTTTAGTAGAGATGAGGTTTCGCTATGTTGCCCAGGCTGGTCTCAAACTCCTGAGCTCAAGCAATTTGCCTGCCTTGGCCTCCCAAAGTGCAGGGATTACAGGCATGAGCCAGCACACCTGGCTGGGACCCTCAATAATTTTTAAGAGTATAAACTTTTTTCTTAGACCAAAAAGTTTAAGAACCACTGAGGTAGTATGTTGACTGGTACATAATAGGCACCCAATAAATGTTTGTTGAATGAACGGAAGAGTAATAATACTTTAAAATAATGTAATCTTCCTTAAGACCAAACCTCTTGCATTCCACTGTCAACTTTGTCACCAACTGACATCACATACCCCTGAAAACAATTTCTTAAAACTTTCTTGAATGGAACTCCCCTTCCCCATGTAGTCATTGGATATATAATTTTTATTCTTCTTTATGTTAGAAGTTGATCTAGAGAGGGAAAATGCAATCATAAAGTATTTGGGCTAGACATGGTGGCTCACACCTGTAATCCTAGCACTTGGGAGGTGGGCCAACTGCTTGAGCCCAAGAGTTCAAGACCAGCCTGAGCAACATATGGCAAAACCCTGTCTCTACAAAAAATTCGCCAGGTGTTGTGTTGTGCACCTGTGTTCCCAGCCACTCGGGAGGTTGAGGTGGGAGGATCACTTGAGCCCAGGAGGTTGAGGCTGCATGAGCTGAGAACATGCCACCACACTCCAGTCTGGGTGACAGAGACCCTGTCTTGAAAGAAAAAGGGATGGAAGAAAGAAAAGAAGAAAGAGGGAGGGAGGGAGGGAAGGAAGGAAAGAAAGAGAAAGAGAAAGAAAGAGAAAAAAGGAAAGGAAAGGAAGAATGGAAGGAAGGGAGGGAGGGGAAGGAAGGAA